GGTATGATTTCATCATTTCTGTTTCATCGTAGAATGTAAATTAGATAAGGCAGGTTGGTCTGAAAACGATCGTTCTGCAGAACAAGCACTTACGGGAATCGTCAATAGTATTTTAATATTTTTCATACTCTGAAAAAATTGAAAATATTTTCTTACTTTGTTCTTTTAATATGGTTATCATTTTATGACATCTTCTAAAGAGTTTAATGCAGGCGCGTACGCAGCGGTAAGGGGGGAGAGGGGGTTGACAGGGGGACAAATCCTCCCCCAAAGCCAAAAAATGCAGGCCGGATTATATTTTACAAAAATATTATTGTTAATATTAATTTATATTTGTTAATATTTATTCCTATCTCATGTATATATTTAATTACATTTATTTATCACATTCAGCTACTAAGTTATTTTATCAATTAATTTCGATTTCAAGTTTTCCTTGGCGTAATTTACCTATTATTTTCAAATTTTAGTGGCGTAATATTTATCTATCTAGTCAAATAATAATTATCTCTGAAACTCCTTGTCCAACAGGGAGAAAGAAATTGCAAGTTTGTCCAACGATATCGAGTCTCCGCCATCAAGCAGTAACAGCTTTTATGGAGTTAGAAGAGCCGATTATTAATGATATTACTGAAATATCACAATGGCTTGAAAGAAATATTTCCTCAGAAGCAAGAAAATTATTGGATTCAATACTTATTCCAAATTTTTTTTCTCATTAGAATGTGTTATTTAATTATACAACTATTTTATGTAATACTTTTCAAAACCATGACATTGACTTGATTAAGAAGATGAGAATAGCGGAGTGCATTTTATTAGAACTCAAGGAAATTAGAGCTAATGTTGATGAAGAATTTCATATTTTATATTGTTGAGTCAAAAGCAGAGCTATACGTGTTTAATCGACTTGCAGGAAGCAAGCTCATCGTCAAAACATCAATATAGGATTAGTAGAAGAGTATTATTAAACAAATGTCCCCTCTCTTAGATACATTTATAACAATAAATGAATGGTTTTTAATTCATCATGCAGCACCTACAAATCCACAGGTATTACTTCCACAAAAGCCTTTCCAACTTTTTCAGATGGTGAGAGAAAAAAAAAATATTTGTTAGATTTTTATCATGAAGATGTTAAAATATCTTATGATGCCTTATTAGCTGAATAAATATGATTAAAAGATTAACTATGGTTAGTCCCAAAAAATGCTATGAATGCTTTGCATTATTTCAAACACATTTTAGATTATATTCCCAATGTATTAAAATGGTTATATATATAAGCAACTCTTCCCATTAGTAAACTAATGAGAGAACATTCTCTTTTTTAAGAAGAATAACAGAGCCCTGCAGAGGTACCATTTGCTAGGCATGGCCCAGATTTTTTGAAAAAAAATTTTCGGCCCGGCCCGGCTTTTTTGAAAAAAAATTATCGGCCCGGCCCGGCTTTTTTGAAAAAAAATTATCGGCCCGGCCCGGCTTTTTTGAAAAAAAATTATCGGCCCGGCCCGGCTTTTTTGAAAAAAAATTTTCGGCCCGGCCCGGCTTTTTTGAAAATAAAATTTTTAGTCCCAGCCCGCATTTTTTGAAAATAAATTATATTTATTTTTGATTTTTATAGCTAATAATGGCGATTTCAAATATTTGGTTAAATACAGCTTGGCCCGGATATTTTTTTAAAAAAATTTTCAGGCCCAGCCCGGGTATGTTAAAAAAAAAATTAAATACGGTCCGGCTCGGGGGCCGAGTCTGCAAGTCTCTGAAATATATACCTATGAAATACAACTTCTGAAAGTAGATTGAATGATTTGGATCTTTTGAATATTCATAGGCATTTAACGCCAAGCAAGGATAGATAATTGAAAAATTAGCTCAAAACATACAAAATACAATTATTCCTAAGAAACTTTTTGTGTATTAATTTATATTTCAACATTTAAATTTTTTATACTTTATATATTTTAAAGGCTCAAAAAATTTCAATTTCAATTTTGGGTCATTTAAGTGATTCATATCGTGGTTATAATTACTTTATATTTTATAATTCACATTTATTTTATAGTTTTTCAATGTCGGTTTATATATATAATCTTTTTGTAATTTACATTAGTTAAAAATTGGGTATTAGAAAAGTTATTAGTCCTAATAAATTTATGCTTAGTATTTTTAATTAATAATAATATTTCTTAAAAAATTTTATCCCCCCCCCCCTCCCAGACCAAATTCCTGCGTACACGCCTTGTTTAATGTATAGAATTAAACGATCTATTTCAAAATCATCTCCATGGAATTGAAACATGATTTTGATAAAGTTTTTGAATCGCAAATTACTCTATCTTAATTAAATAACACATTATTGGTTTGTCGAAATGATTTTTTCATAATAAATTTGTCTATATTATTTATTATTAATTAACTCACCCAAAATGATGGTATGATAAATTCGAGCCTTCTTCGAATCGAAAAGGCTTCTTTTTTTATCATGCTTTAGAAGGGTCCTATAAATTTATTTCGTTTGCCTTTAAATTAATTTCTCTCTAAACTTTTCGAAACTCTCATCTTGTCGTATCGCTAAATTTTGATCAGGATTTCTTTTATATTTAACATTTTGCAAATGTAATGAAAAACTTTGGATTTCTTCTTTAAAACTCTACTCTCTCAAATATATTATCATCATTTTAAGAAATAAAAATTTTCAAAAAGCCTTATACAAATATCTCCATTATTTGTGAGAATCTCATAATAATAAATTTTTCATAAATATATTATAAAATCGTGAATTTCGCAATAGTAAATGTATCTTGTACCACAAGATTTAATGTATGATCTGCAAAATGTACCACATTTCTAAACCAGATATCTTCTAACGGCACCATCATAAATAACATTGAACTTTACATTTTTTGCTGTTAAAAAATTTTTAAGTAATATTCTTTGATTAATTAATATTGTTTTATGAGGGCACAGTCCCCATAGAAATTTTTTGGGGGCTAAAGTTCCGCTGCTCCCACTAGGTCGGCACCAATAAGGTATGCATCTAATAAATTTTCTATCATGTAGATTCTGTACCCACTTACGTTGAATCTCTTATCAAAGTAAAAAATAATACTTTTATTCAGTGGCGTAGCTAGGAATTTTCCTTAGAGGGGGTCCATACATTAAAAGCTGGGGGGCTTCGCCCCCCCCCAGACCCTTTTTAACGGGCCTTCGGCCCTTTTGCCCGGCCTTTGGCCGGGTTTATCTTATAAATCATAACCATATCTTCGATAATATATAATAAATATATTTTTTAAATGCATCAATAATATGTTATTATAATTTAGTAGATTATTCTCAATGACTTTATAATAATACGATCCAGAATAATTTCAATAGTAATATAATATCCTTCCACAAACATCAAAACCAGAAAAATATAATTCATATAAAATCACTTTTAAGTCTTTTGAACGTATAATCTCAAAAAAAAATTTGCTCTGGGAGGGGTCCAAACCCGAAAACCACCCCCGTAGCTACGCCACTGCTTTTATTTATAAGAAAAAAGTGAACAAAATAAAATTGGTTTCGTTTAGTTTAATTCTGAAAACTAACTAAGATACAAGGTTTCCCATTTAAAAGAGGAAAAGTCTTGATCCAAATGGAAAATATTCCGATCAAATTATGAAAAGTCTGATAAAAAAAAAGGATAAGTACCAATGACTTTGGAAAAGTCCTGTTGAAATAATAAAAATCCAATGAAAACAGGGAAAGGTTTAATCAAATTTGGAAAATTCTCATTCAAAAATCGTTTTATTATATTTTCTGTCGTTTTTATCTTTCTTAGTTTTAATGACTTTTTCCGATCTATATTTAATTTGACGTCATCTTTAATCTATTTTTGTCACTTTTTCTCAATTTGCTTATTTTTTTTCATTTTTGATTTCTCTTTCTTGTCATATTTTTTTAAACAATTTTTTTATTTACACTTTCGTCATTTTTCTAGACTTAATTGCTCATGTTGTAAAAATGAGTATTTTTAAATTAAACCCGTATTTTTTAAAAATTTGGCCAGTTCTGATAATAATTCACTTATTGTTTGGTATTGCAGTTAAAACTTATTTAATTTAAAAATGGTGCAACATATTATTAAACAAATATTTTATTTCCTTTAATAGTAATAAGATAAAAGTTATTTAAATAAAAGGGAAAGATAATACAAAAAATAGATAATTTAAGAGAGATAACGGGGAAAATAAATAATTTTTAAAAAGACAAAATATAAATAATAAAAAAGTGAGAAGAAAAAAAATAAATAAAATTGAAAAAAGATGACAAAAAAAGATTGAAAATGACATAAAATAAAAGTGAGATCTTAAAAAATTAGAAAAAACTGAGAAATATAATTAAAAATAACCAAAAATTAAAAAAAAATGACATTTTAGGATTATTAAAAAGACAACAAAAATGTTTTTTTTTAAATATGCAAAAAATATAATAAATATTTTTTTTTGATCCGATTTTTTTCTTTTTTGATTAATTTGATTGACACTTTCCTTTTTTGATCTGTTCATTTTCTTTTTTGATCGGGACTTTTTCCTTTTTTGATTGACACTTTTCCTTTTTAATCGAACTCCTTTCTTTTTTGATATAAGGATATATATTTTTTATAATATTTATATTTTAAAGACTTTATCCCATTGAAATTTCTTTTTTATTAAAATTATTTACGGTTATCTTAACAATTGATTTTTCCAGGTCTGCTATGCATGGTTGGTATATTGATATGATACTCATTCTTGATAATATTTAATCTACAATATTTTTAGCAAATTTTTTATTGAGTTGTATACACAATATCTCTCTATGGGTCGTCTTGGTAAAAGATGGGAGCTTTTATTTTTAATACTGTTTCTAGTGGAGTTGCTAGATTTTTTTTAACCAGTTATTCTTTGATGTAGTTAAAATGAAAAGAAAACATAGTTTATTAAATATATAATTTATACAAAAAATAATAATAGCTGGGATCACATGGCCCAATACGACTTTCCGGCTGTTTTATCATACATATTAACCGTAACCAAACAAATTTCTCTCTATTATATCGGCCATTCTCAAGGAACTTTGATTGCTTTCTCCGCTTTAAGCTCCCGTAATTACTATAATGGTTCTAACTATACAAGGGAATTTAAAAATTTAAAAATATTCAAAAATATAAAACTCTTTATAGCGCTATCACCGGTGGCATATTTAGGACATATTCATGGCCCTTTAAAAGCTATCGCAAAGTTACCCGTATCTCAAGAAATATTAGAATTTTTTTTAGGTAAAGACAAAGATTTTCTTCCTCAAAATAATATTCTAAAGTGGTTAAACAAGATGTTCTGTGACAAAAAAAGATTCGAAGTTATGTGTTCTAATATTTTATTTCTGATATGTGGACCGGATATCACCAATCTTAACAAGGTTAATTTTAATTATGCGAAATACATCTATTCGGCTAAGTTGATTCATTTAGTCTACTAAGCCTACCCATTTAGTTGGCTAAATTGATTTTTTAAGCCCACTATATAGCTGGATGCTAGATATTATAGCTATTTTTTTTCGCTAAGTCTTAACTATTTTTGATTGGCTAGGGCTGAGCTTTACCATTTATTATTTTTTTTAGTTTTTATTTAATTAGGCTAATTCTATATGAAATTGATTCATAATTTTGTATCCCGATATCATATTTTTATCTCGAATCTCGAAAGATTGAAGAGAGGCTAAGATATTTTCAGAAATTTTCTGCCCCATATAAGGATGGAGTAGCTCTATTAAATCAAGGACGGAACTTATCATTTTCCACCCCTTATCTATGTAATTAATTGTTAACGAACAAAGGTAATGAATTGTTATAACAAAGAGACAATGAATTTATTCCTGTCCAAATGTCCGTAATTAGACATATTTTTAGGTTTACAGTACATTTGTAAGTTTTTTAAAGAGTTTATATTTAAAACTATTATATAAATTTTGGAAATACTTATCACCCGCTTCCGGCACCACAATTTTTCATTTTTGTAAAAATAAAATATATCTTCGAAATGGGGACTATTCAATTTATTAAAAGTATAATTATTTTTAATGATCTATTTTATTGTAAGTTAATTTAAAATTATATGTCTTTCTAAATTAGCTCAAATATGTATAAAAATAATTTTAAAAATATGTTATACTTATAGCTGTATGGACACACTAGTGTTTATGACAGTGCATCGCCGAAATTTTGGGGGAGACATCACAAGTATATTTTTTAGTACTGTAACCATGGTTAGCAAGCCGGGCAATTGACCGAAAGTATATTTGACCGGTCAAATATGGTCAAATATGGTCAAATATTCTAAAATGTTATTTTTAATATTTTTGATTAAATATATTATAAATTATTATATACTTTTTAAATGAACCTATCAATTTAATTGCATAATAAATATAAGTACATTCTTGTTACGGATAATGCCGCTAATATGAAAGCAGTTTCGAAAATTTTAAAATCCAAATCAACTCTTAGCCATATTCAATTTTATGGATTTGCCACACATATTGTTTTTTTTTTGGAATTTCAAACGAGTATTGTTATTTAATTCACATGTATCCATTATGACAACAATTGTTTAATTTTTTTTAAAAAATAAACACACCAAGTCCAGTATTTTCCCTCTACAGAAATCAACATTACAATTAGTTTAAACCCAAGAGATTTAAGTGATCATATATTAGAGGAACAATTTTGGATAAAAAAATTTTAAGTTTTTAAATATCTCTGCCCTATTTTAAAAATGAGATGTTATCTTTAGAATGGCATATTATTCAATCATGCCAAGACCAAGTATTTTCTCCATTAGAAGAAATATTTTTTATAGATATGTTTGAAATAATAAAAAATAATCTAAATACAACCTCAAAATGTTGCCTATTTATAGATCCCCAATATCAAGGACACCATCTCATATTGAATTCAATGAATCTTCTAATGGTAAAAAGAACTAGGAATTCTGAAAGGTGATGATAATCAAGCCATCTTAGATGATATAATAAATTTTCGCTGTAAAAGTGGTATCTTTGACAAACAAAATATCTGGAATACGGTAGTAACCATAATCAATCAAATTTTATATCAAGCTGGTGGAAGGGACTTTGTCAACCTTGCCCTTTAAGGGAAGTAGCAAATATCTTATTAGCTCTTCCAAGTTCATGTTCTTCTTTAGAAATTAGTCGTTGTGGCACCCAAAACCATAGATTGGGTATCTAATTCTGTATACATGGAAGAATTTTATTCCCAGAATTTTAAAATACTTCTCTATTTATCTGGTGGGAACTTTCAATCAAAGATGCGATATAAATTTGTTCTCCCCATTTTTATTTTCTGATAATTTTTATTTATTTTCTCTTTCTAAATGTAAATTTTCAATATCAACTGTATCTTTATCAATATTATCACAACCAGTTATCGAATAAGAAGATGCGGTAGTCTCCTATATTTTATGAAGAATTAATGTTGTTTATCTCAAAATTCTTTAAGATGGTTTTTAGCCATCTGTTTTTGCTCATTCAACATAGATAACGAGGGTCGAAATATAAAGAAAATAATAGTTTTAACGCCATTATTTTTAAGGATATCATTAATAGCTAATGGAGAGTATGGGCTTCACATCTGATGCAATATATATTGGTGAATAAATCTACTACAGTTCCCTCTAAATTAATTTTATCCTTATATATGTTATAATTTTCCTAACTGTACTTTTACTTTCTTAATATTTATTAATTATTTTAACTAATTACTAAGGTGTTTTCAATTTATCTTTATTATTCAGAAAAAATATAATCATTTAATAATACAAAAATATTTCTATCTTAATTATAATTTTTAGAATGAATCAATTATCAAAATAAAAAATGTCATAATGTAACATTAATAGTAATCAATTCACGGCAACTGAAATTATTAGGGTGATTACTCTCTACATGTTGAATACATTTTTGATAAAATCCAATCTTTTAAATTTAAATTACCCTTACAGTTGGTTTAAAAGTAGGAAATTACTAATCCTCATATGAGTTTCCGGATAAGTCTAGTAGTTATTCCAAAATATCTTACCCCTATAAATATTTATTAAATATAAAAATTATCCTCCATAATTTCTTATTATTTGTTTAAAATAATTTTTTTTTTTAATTGCAAAATTATCGAGGGATGATATTTCCAGTTTCTCTTGCCTACCTAAATATTAAGACAAGTACATTAAGACCACCCTTGATTGATAGCCGCATATAATATTTTTTAAATCAATACAGAATTTTGATCTATTGATAACATATTATTATTATAAACAATAGAGAATAAATTGAGTTTATGTAGAGACATTTATGTTAGATTAATTTTAAAATAAAATCTCTATTTTAGTCAAGAATACCTGTGTATTTTGCTCATTACCCTGCTGGGACATCAGTACAAAATATGATACATTATATTCAAGCTGTTAAAAGTAAAAAGTATCAAAAATTCGATTATGGCATATTTAAAAACAAAGAAATATATAATCAGGTTAGTAATTTATATTTTTTATTAACTAGTTGAATCAATTTTTTTTTAATTAAAACAATTTTGCTAATTGTAATATGGTAAAATAATTAGAAATTTTGATTTCAATTAATATGATATCCGAGATTTTTTAAGACACTTTTTAAATTTTAATCATACTTTTAATGTATTTACCCAAATAGTAAGAATATCTATATTTATTACTCTTTAATTAAGTATAAAGAAACAATCAACTATCTAAAAAATATTCTTGTTGTTTTTAAATAAATGTTTGTTTTTATATGTTGTTCTACAAGGCCTATTCAAAAATAAATATGCAGGTCTGTCATGAAGCTACAGCTGAGGGGTGGTGGGTGGCTAAAAGTTTATTTGAAGGTCAATATTTTGGTTTTTTTAATACACAATTACAATCCTTTTTGAAAATCAGGTTTTGAGGCGAGAAAAATTTCCCCCATGGCTACAGGGCTGCATATATGAATTGATTATTACATTGTTCGTATTCGAATAATTATATTCTTATTGATACGGGCAATAAATTTTACTATTCATATTCAATTCTAATTATTCAAATAATTCGTTTTTAAATATTATAAAATAATTCATAAATATATTGACACTTTTTTAAATATTGCATTATTAAAATTTTCATCGATTAAATGGGTGATTAGCTCCTAAATTGTGCAAATCTAAATATCAGATAAAAAATTGAACCATTATTTTCTTTACCAACTGTTATTTTTTTGCAATGTACTAGGCATATTAGATAAGTTTGGCCTGTGAAGATTTTTAGTTTTTTGGCCCAACCCGATACGCCCAAATTCTTTACTTCATCCGGTCATTGACCTTTGATAATTCTCTTTCTAAGTCGACCTTAATTCAACTTCATTGTAAAGTGATAGGGATTTGCCCTTGATTGGCAACTCCGTCGCATTTCTTAAACCGGGAAGCCAATCTGGGGAGCATTCTCTTCTCTTTTCACCTCTGAAAATATTTATGAGTTCCTAGAAGCCATTCTTTCTAGTAATCTTGACGATTATTTATTACAAATAATGAGCTACTTCAAGCCTTTAGACTCAGATTTAATTGCGATATGGTATACCATGCTCATGGGCACTATATATCAAACTCGTTGACTAGAAAGGTTGCCACTCCCTGCATTGCAAAAAATGTATAGACAGATTTCTAAGACATACCAAATTCAATGACACTATATATTGTGCCTTAAAATCAGCTAGAATTCCTTCTCGGCGATTTTACTAGCCTCCCGACGTTCAGCCGGGTCATATTTGAGCTATTCTTTTAAATTAAATAATGGTTATAACCCAATTTTTTTATTATTTTAAGGTATATTATATTAAATAAATTTTTTTTAAATATAAAATTGAAATAAAGTTTAGTATAAAATTGGCTTAAAAACTAGCCTCAGCTTAAATTCTCATACTAGAATAAAAATTTTTTATTGAAAATACTAATTTTAGTGGGTATAAAATATTGACTAAAAAAATTTTTAAAAAATAACTTCTTATCAAATATAATAAAACAGTACTTTAATTTGCGATAAAAAAAGTATTTAAGAATTGAATGAAATTGGATATTTTTATTCTTCAGTTGAGTCAACATTTATATTACATCAATTGCCTAGGTGCTAGACGAGGTTTAATTAGTGTTATATCATAAGATTTAGCTTTCGATTCAACGTCTGTATAAATATTATGAAAATATTCATCTACATTCACTCTTATTTACCTGTTCATATACATTTTCCTCCAAATCAATACCAAATCTAAATTTAGTTTTTGTAAATTTCTACAAAGTAGTGAGCTATAGGAAAATAATTTATTAATGCAACTAGCAGCAAGGATAAACTATGATTGATACTGCAAAATTTTGACGGGGTAAGGGGGGAATAAAATTTTTATTAGCTTAAAATGATATTTAAGAAACCAATCAAATTTGCGATGGTGCGTTAAACCCTCCCCCTCATTGGTTATCCGCCTGTCCCAATAAAGGGGTATACTTTTTTCAGGATGAGAGTAATTCCATCTGGTCTAGTTTGGTTAGTGGGGCTAAAGTCAGAGGATTCAAAAGTGGATAAAATATTTGGCCCTCAAGGTTCTAATATTATTGAATTAATGACAAAGTGTTTTAGAAAATCTGCTTTTACGATAATGAAGGAGATTATGCCCCGGGCTATTAATACGGCTGATGGAAGGTTTTATACGCATTCAATATATCATCCCCTTAGGACGGAACTACAAATTGATAAGATTGGCAAGCCACAGACGTTCTCCAAAAATCACGATTTTTTGAATACATAATATAATAACCAAATGTGGCAGTCTCGATCCAAATAAAAAATTAATAAAATACCGATTGGTACAAAAATGCCTTTGGTAGTAATTATCATTAACCTGAAACAAAGTGCTGACCTGAAAAAACCTTTAGATAGTTATATGGCTACAGGTACGTAACCAATGAAGGGGGGGAAATTTTACCCCCCATAGCAAATTTGACTATTTTCCTAAATATTATTTTATGCTAATAAAAATTTTACCCCCCCCCCCCTACCCCCCTCCTGCCCCGTCAAAATTCTTCAATATCAAGAGAGTTTATCCTTACTGCTAGTTGCATTAATAAATTATTTTCCTATAGCTCATTACTATGTAGAAATTTACAAAAACCAAATTTCGATTTGGTTCAAGTTATTGTAGGAAAATGTGAACAGGAAGAATGAATGTAGATGAATATTTCTAATATTTATATAGACGTTGAAGCAAAAACGAAATCTTATAGAATATTATAGAATATCCAATTTTATCCCATTCTTAGATACTTTTTATCGCAAATTAAAGTACGGTTTTTAGATGAAAAACAAGTCTTTGGTAATCTTCAAATTTTATTACCTAAAGACCCTTCTTCGTTTTCTGAAGCTATTATTGGTAAATTTAAATATCTAGCAAAATTTCATTTCTATGATATTGATACTGAAATCAATTTAATTAGTGAATTCGAATTGTGGGATAAATATTTACTACGTTTATTATTTTACCTGAGCATGCTATTGATGCGCTCAATCGGTATAAGGAAACCTTGGCTTAATTTCCAAATATTTTGAAGGTATTTAATATTCTTGCATGTTTGCCTATTACCATATACGAAGAAAGGACCTTTTTCAAATTGAGAAGGTTGAAAACTTATTTACAAAATACTACTTCCGAATCTCGGCTAAATGGGGTAGCTCTGTTAAATATCCACAGAGATTTGATTTCAACGACAAACGAAATTCTTGATGAATTGGCAAATTTCTTACGAAAGTTAAAATCGTATTATAATTCTATTAATTAATAAATTTTTTGTATAATATTGTATTTGATAATAAGTTATAAAAACTTGTTCTTTAAAAAATTTTCTAGTCAATATTTTATACACACTCAATTAGTATTTTCAATAAAAAAATTTTTATTCTATTTATATATGAGAATTTAAGTTGAAACTAGTTTTTAAGCCAATTTTATAAAAAAAATTGACACTAAACTTTATTTCAATTTTATATTTTTAAAAAAAAATTATTTATAATATACCTAACTTAAAATAAAAATTGGGTTATAACCTTTATTTCTTCTTTAAATATTCATAAGCGCGAATTAGTAAATAAAAGCTAAAAATATTAATATAATTATTATTGAATTATGAATAATTTAAAAGAATAGCTCAAAGATATGACCCGGCCGAAGGTGAAGGAAAAGCTGGCCGAAGGCCAGCCAAATGGTGTAAATTTCCCCCCTATAGGAAAATCCTGGATATACGCCAATGTATGGCTAAGAGAGCTTACTTCCGATCACTATAAGTGAGCTATAGCTAATTTTGTGATTCACCAATTTTACAAAGGATTTTAAAAAGATGCAATTAAATAAAGAAATAATTTTACTGACGATAATGTGATATTTATTTGCACAGAAAAAAAAGATATGACAATATAATGTTTATTTGCATCGAAAAATATATAAATAACACAATATAATATTTATTTCAAAAATTTAATAAATTTTTATTTGGCTTTGACAATAGACTTTTAAGATTTCCTAGAAAAACAAACGATTTACAGGAGCCATTGGTGTAAGTGAGACATTATAATCAACAGTAATTTGCGAAATCATCATATAAAAATAATGAATGAAACATATATTGAGATATTTAAGATATTTTAAAAAGTAACTAGTTAATTTGTCTTCACATTCCTCTAAAATTACCAGTTACCGTTTTTGGCAAAGAATTTTACATACCACTAGTTATTTTAATAACACTAATTATCTCTCTATACCCAACTCAAATTATAATTCTCTTCTCCCATTAATTTCAATATGAAGAAAAATGATTATGGAAAAAGTCGCCATATCAATTTTGGACTAAGAATTGGCTTTAAACAAGATATTTTTGAAAATTTTAAAGTATCCTGCATATATATAATCTTTATGCAGCTAACCTTGCCATTTACATGAAGCATCATTTATTCTCAACACCCAAAATATGTTATCTAGCACAAAAGAATTGACTATGATCGAAAACAAAGGTTATGTCAAAATTTTTATCTGTTTAATTTTCTCATACCCTTAAATCATTGAATTATATTTACAAATCTTGGACAAATACACAAGGCCTTAAATTCTATAATTTTATAACCATGTTTAAAAATAAAACATTATTGTAATAACATTCTAATCAGAGACCAACTGGGCCTTAATTTTTGACCAAGCCCGGCCCAGGCCCGCAGTAAAAAAAATTTTGGCCCAAGCCCGGCCCATATTTAATGTTAAAAAAATTCCCAAGTCCGGCCCAAGCTCATATACAAAAATTTAATTTTTTTAATTTAATGAAAATTAACAATATTTAAATATATTTAGGCAATCATTTTGTTTACAATACTGAAATTTATTATTATTAGAAGAAAAAAAGGCAATATTTCATTAAATTAGCAACTGTTTTAAATAATCTAAATTTAAATTTAATAATTTTAGACCCAAGCCCATTAACAAAAATAATATTAGGCCCATACCCGGCCCATGAAGGTCTCTGATTCTAATTGCACATTTACAGTATTATATTATTTATAAAAATTACCCTTAAATTGATATTAAATTAATGAATGTGTATATAAAATAAAATTTGGTCCAATATATATTCATAATATCTCATTTATTCAAAAATATAGTCTCTTTTTAAATCGGAAACTAGCATGGACCTCAATAACCTAACAAAAAGTTGGATATAAATTTTAACGAAAACATGCCATATTTTGCCACCTTAAACTCATCTTTTTTTATCCATACAATTTTCAATTTGTAAGCCTGACGTGCCTAAAATTAACAAAGCATCCTTATTGTTAGTGCCATAGTTGTAAACCCGAGCCTTCGATTTTATATTTGAGATATTTTTTGAAAATTTTATGTATTTTGAAAATGTTTAAACATTTAAAAAAAGATAGTGTAAATGAAACACACTTTAACAATAAGGATAATATGACTATTATGTTCACTAATCACTATAATCTATAATTCATTACATTCGATATTTATAACATTGGAAGGGGCCATTTGACCTCACATAAATTTGATTCATAATCACAATAACCAATTCACATTAAATTATCGTTTTAAAAATGATGAAAATAAATAAGCAACAATTATTATTAAAAAAACTGAGATTTTAAATAATATTAAAAAATTATGAATTAAAATTATATTGTCTTGCCATTATAGAAATTATTATAGTTCATATTTAATCGCTCAGTATTAAAACAAAAAATATTTCGCCCAGATTAATGCGTAACGCTCAGAAAAAATACCAAGTTCTTAAAATTATTTCCTAATAGGCTCAGATAAAAAAGGGAATTGCCTAGAAAAAATAATAATTGCTCCTATAGAAAACTGAAATGTTCAGATTAAAAAATGAATTGCTTAGAATTAGTCGCTTAATTGCTAAGAAATATTTTTCCTTAGTTAAACTATTGATTTTCGGAATATGTATATGTTTATAAATTTTCAAAAAATAGTGGCCCCTTCAAGTCCCCTAAGTAGTAAATACTGGCTACAAGAACCTATTTTCAAAACTGAATTATTTGTTTTATAAACATGGTAATGGATAGATGAAATTTGGAAAACAATTAAACATTTGAAAAACGTTTTGAGATATATGAATCTTATACATAATCTTCGTTTCGGTTTTATTTAATGTTATAAAAAAAAATTTTAAATCAAATAAATCCATCATTTTTTTCTCTAATTTTATTATTAATTTCTAGATATATATGCTCATTATTCATATAAAAGATAAATGAATTCAAAATCTAGATATAGAATTTATATATATTTTTTTGGGGCTATTTTTTTTATATTAGTGAAATTAAACCCATCTCAGGATATTATATTATAACACCCCCCCCCCTTCTCACACTCAGGAGCTTTATTATGGGGAGGGAGAGTATGATAAAAACGTTATTGAAATTGGAGGGGGGTAGGAAGATATGGCAGTATTGTTAATGTGAATAAAATTGAAGGGGAGAGGGGTTGGGATTTATGGCAGTATCGTTATTAAATAAAATTGAAGGAGGAGGGAGGGTAGAAGAATAGTTTTGATTTAAATTTCCGTTTTTGCTAATGGAGGGAGTGGGAAAGTAAATTTAAAGGCGGTGATTTTTAGAGGAAATAAGGGGCAAACATATAAAGGAATAGGGGTCTCGAATTTTTGTAGGGGTAATATTGGCATTGACCTAATGAGTGAAGAAGTCCCTCATCTCTCCCGCAGACTAATCTACTTCGAAGACCTAGAGTGATTTACCCATCTAAGAGAAAGTAATAAATTGATCTTTTTATTAGGTTTTACTTGTTACCCATGTTGAGATATTACACTAAAAGCTTTTTTATCCCCCACCCCTCTTTACCTACTTTGAAGACATAGAGTGATGAGAATCAATTAATTTCCTTATTAGTCATTTCATACCCATCTCGATATAGTGTTAGAAAAATAACCCCTCCCCTCAATCCACTCTGTAAGGATGAATATTATGTAATCAATTAATCTTATTAGATTTCATTTGATACCCATGTTGAGATACTTTACTATGCACCTTTTACACCCCCCCCCCTTAATGCTTATGAACACATAGATTAATTATCATCAATATAATAAATCTATTTTTGTATTAGCTTTCATTTGCTACCCATTGACATATTATGTGGACATTTTCTACCACCCCCCCCCTCAACATCTACCCTCATAGGGTTGAGCATCATGTAATCAATTTATCTTTTTATTAGCTTTCATTTGATACTCATGTTATTAAAAGAAAGTAACCCCCCACCAATGCATAGATTAATAAAACTCAATTTATTTGATTAAATTTAATTTGAAAATAAAATACTATAATAGCAAAAATTTTTGAGCGATTTAGTATTTTTTCTGAGAAATTCAATAGAGAAATTCTGAGAAAATCATAATTTTACTTTGCAAAATTGTCATAGATTTTAAATATCTGTGAAATTCACTATAAATCCTTAGCATTAATTATTTTTTATAGGGTTTCAGTTTTTATTCTGTGCTAAATAATATGTCAATAAAAAAATTTAAAATTGAAATAATTTCAGAGCGATTTAATGTATTTTCAAAGCAATTCAATAAACAAATTCTGTGAAAATCAAATTTTACTTATCCCGAATCGGCTTAAATTTTAAGATAAATAATTCAGTAAAAATTCTTAGCTTAAGTAATTTGCAATTAAGGAATAAAATTCTGATCCAGTTTTATTCTAGAGAAATAATATTAGTCAAATATTATTTATATTTTTGTAAATTAATCATAGTTCAAGCCACCTCAATATGATATATCCAAAATGAGTGAAGTACCCGTTCATCTATTTACAGGCTCGGAAGATTGGTTATCAACTATGATAGACGTCAATATTATGAAAGCAAAATTAAAAAATTTCAAACAATATAACTATCCTTCGTATAACCATTTAGACTTTATCTGGGGAGAAAACGCACCTTCACGTGTTTATAATGTGATTATAGATATTTTAAAAAAGGATATAAATAATAATAAATCTTAGCTATGGTGGATTAAATAATTGATAATCATTTGGGGTTGAGATTAAAGGTGGTGGTGGAATATCTGGTGAGATGCTAAGTGATGAAGGTTCAAGCTTGGAGGCTATAGACTTATTACTACCGGGGCATCTTGAAGTGAGTGGTCCATGGATGGTTATTAAATTTTTATTTTTTATGTTAAAAAGCAATATGATCACCTGTAATCATTAGTATCTTTTGTTCGTATTCTTTTAAAAGAATTTCAAAAGAGAAGACACCAGAAGTTTTTAAACAATACTGGATTTATGCTTGATAGATGGGTATTTTTTAAAGATTGATAGTTTGGGGTATCGTGATTGAAGGTGATTATTTAAAAAATTAAAAACTCCCTCTGCACCTCCCAATGGGGCTCCTAATATATTGAAATCTTGTAAGGGTGTCCGTCTAAAATTATCTAACATGGTGTATGTTGGAGGCGGAGAAGGGTAAATTTCACATTTATTTATATTTAAGGTAAATTAAGTTCATCAAAGTGTTTGTTGATTATATCTAGACAATTCTGGATTGAAAAAATGATCCCCGATATAGTACAATCGTCAAGGTGCCAAACGTGTAGATTAGAGGTCTGCATTGGGCGGGTTTTTGGACCAAAAGCCCACCCACCCAATGTTTAAAATAAAATAACCCGCTCGCCCAGCCCGCCCATAGTTTTAAAAAAAATATATACCCGCCCGCCCCGCCCATTTATCTAAAATTTCTTACCCGCCCATTGGTCTAAAACTTTTTACCCGCCCGCCCATTATTTATAAAAAATTTAACCCAAGCCCGATTATAAAATTTAATTATGGCCATTCTTTCAATTTTTTAAGCATTTAATAAAAATATTTCAGCATTATTTATAATTTAGAAAATAAATTTAATAAAGAAAATAATCAATTTAAATTATGGACAATTTATTTGATCAAATAGAATATTTATGAAAAAAATATAAATATAAAATTGATATTATATGTAATTATAATGCAAAAATAATAATGAATCGACATTTTCTGGATTCAAACACGTTCTTCTTTGTTTTGAAAACCTTCCAGCAATGCTAAATCCTTGTTCAGAAGAAGCACTAGTTGCAGGAATCGCCAATATTTTTCTTCCTAATCTTGATAGCTTTGGCAAATCTCATTTCGTTTCCACCAAAGTAGGATATCCGTTTAAAGTATATTTTCTTCCTCAAGTGAGATCCGGATGTCCCGTATGCAATATATGTAAAACTCTTTTTTGAAGTGAGTACGGAATGATTAATCTGCCATTCCAAAATAAAATACCATGCTATTTTTGTAATCGTTTTCATGCTATTCGGAATAGTAACAGAACAAAAACTATACAGTTTTATAAACCGGACCTCGAGTTAATATTAGAAACAGATGCATCTAACTAAGGATTTGGAGCTGTACTCATGCAAAGATATGATAATGGTAACGAATTTCCAATAGCTTACACCTCAAGAATTAACAAGCGAAAATAAAACAGTGAAATATATTAGAAATCTTATTTATGACACATTAACTCTATCAAGAAAAGAACTTAGAGAGGAAACCGCAAAAGATCCAATTTTAAGAAAGTAAAAAGATTAATAAATGTTACAAATATACAAAATCAAGCACCAGAATTACAAGCTTTTAGAACAAGAATAGATGAAATAGAAAATGATGACTGTATTTTATTTTGGAATGGCAGATTAATCATTCCGTACTCACTTCAAAAAAGAGTTTTACATATATTGCATACGGGACATCCGGGTATTACATCAATGAAATCCATTACGAGACATTATATATGGTGGGAACAATTAGATAAAGATGTAGAAAAACTAGTAAAGTGTTCGATTGGTACTATAAAAAAAGAAATATTATTATTGATCATTTAATTAATTATGATTTTTCTTTAGTTTGTTTTTGAACAAAAATTTTAAATTTCCTTAACCCTCCCGCCCATTGTTTAAATTTCTTAACCCACCCACCCGCCCGCCCATTGTTTCAAAATTTTTTAACCCGCCCGCCTGCCCATTCTCGAAACGCCCACTTAGATGGACGGCGGGCCGGCGGACGGGCCGAAACCCGCCCAATGCAGACCTCTACTGTAGATTGAGTTTGCATGAGAGAGCAATATCACTTATTAGGTGTTTTAAGGTATAGGAAAAAAGTAGTGGTCCTAATGGGTCACTCTGTTGGAGGCCTTCTGCAGAATTAATAATATAATCAGTAAATTTGAGTAAGGAAGGAATGCCATAGCTAAGATGGATGTAATTATGGTAGTCAGGGAAAGTTTCCAAAAAAGTATCGATCAATTTATTCCTATTAATTGAATTAATGGCTAGGATATGGTTCTGCTATATAATCTTCAGGTTTGAAGTTGGATAAAACTAGTTGACTGCAATAGATTGCGGCTTTACAGCCTCCTTTTCTCCAAATCCCACTTGATAAGGAGCTAAGCTTAAGGTTATTGTAGATTTGAGTCGATTACAAATAATTTTTGAAATGGTTCGTCGGTAGAAAATTCCAATAGCTATTGGGCTCACTTGATTTTCAGCTTTTTCAAGCGCAATTAGTCGAGCACCAAAGATTATTGGTGTTAGTTTATGTGGTAATTTCCCGAATTTTAGTTAAAGAATTAAGTAGAAATTCGGAATGTATAAACCCAAGAGGTCGATAATAAATGAGGGTCGAAGGTAATCCAGTCCTGGAGCAGAATCGTTTGGAAAAGATTTAATAGCGGTTAAGGCTTCTCCGGGAATGATATTTATCTTTGAATTTATTATAGGCAATATTTGAGGAATGTATTTGGGGCTCGGATGTTTTTTAAAAAGTTGATTTCTTGTGGTGATATTATCGGGTGCCAAAGTGTTTGCGTTAGAAAGAGCTCGGAGAGATTCTTTTAGATTGAAAATATTAATCTTATTATATATTAGTTTGTATGAGGTGTTACTTAAAGTCTTTTTAGCAGGATTGTTGATATTTGGTGTTAATTTTTCAAAATTAAAATAGAAATTTTCAATTCTTTCTTTGATGGTTTGGCATAGTGGGGTTAGATTATCTTTTGGTGGATTTAATATTAATGTTGGGAAATATATCAATTTTCTCCAATTTAGATCTTCTGGGTTTTGTAAAATATTATTAATGATTTTGATATAAAAAGTATAAATTAATTTAAGGGCTGCTTTTGGGGTTCGTGATATGGTAGGGCTAAAATAGCTTGTTAAAAATTTTGGGTTTCCAAATCAGGAATTGGATAATTTTTTATAAAGGTCTTTTCCTGTGTTGGATTTTCATTTGGTGGATAAAATAATTGATAGTCATTTTGGAGATTAAAGGTGGGGGTGTAATATCTAGTGAGATGCTAAGTGATGAAGGTTCAAACTGGCAGGCTGGAGGTTTATTATTACCTGGGCATCTTGAAGTGAGTGGTCCATGTATAAATAATTCTTAGTGAATAAAAAAAAATTTACATTTTTTATGCATTTTAAATATCTCATGTGATAATCAAATAAAAAGAGATAATTCTAGTAGCATGAAGAAGTCCGGGGTAATCGATGCAATTTTAAAATAACCATAGGTCCAAAAATAATTATAGTATTAGAATTTAAAAATGTCATTAGATATCACCACCAATAATTATACACTGATATGCTGGCAATTTTTCTTAAATATGCATGCTGAGTCCTGCTTATTGCTAAAGTTAAGTAATACTACTTATTTAGCCTTTTAAGTTATTTTTTGTCAGTTAAAAAGTCATCGAAAACTATCATAATATAGCAGCTCAAATTAGAAAAAAATTAATATGAATTAAAACCCCTTATTTAATTAGTAGTGCCTTTAGAATTATGGCAAACTTCATAGAACAATTAATATTTATATAGATCATAGAACATAATATATAAAAATATTTTGAAATATTAGAGAAAAATAAACCTATTTTTGAATCTTATTTCGCTTATAACACGTTTTTATTTATTGACTGAAAAAAACTGATTGAAGAATAGTAACAAACAGGCATTACATATTTTCTCACAAATATGTTCAGTCTTTCTGTAATTTTCCTTCTAGCCCGATGTCTATCTTGGCACTACTGCTGAACTGCCAGTGGCTCCTACAACGGCGGGAATACGAAGCAACGACTTCATAAAATTTAGATGGTGATCAAACCTTTAAAGTTATTTCTTTAATAGGAATTTTGTACACCATGATGGGGGTATTTTTATTTAAAAACATCTAATTTAAATTTTTTGAAAAATTTTTGCAATATTCTTTTATGAAAAATATGGTGAAAAACAAAAGCCGTTTCAAAGACTCATAGATATATATTGCATTGGTTACACAACTGTTGATATATTAAAAAAACATTTACAAAATTAATTCAATAAATTTACTACTAAAATTCTAGTTGGCCGAAGCTATGATAGTGTCTTAAATATGAGTAGAAGGATAGAAGGAGTTTAGGCTTTGATGTAAGCTGACGTCCCAAGGGTGGCTTTAATTTGGTGCTATTGTTATCGATAATTTAATAATTGTTCAATTATGTCAACCTATAAGGGCAGAAATGACTTAGGGATCTTACAGGGTTCATGTTTATTTTAATAGGGCTAAAAAAATATACAGTGTTCAAAGCAAGTCAGAACGAGGCACTGATACAATCACAACACTTTTTGATTATCGATTATCACTCGGTAATATCTTATTTGTGAAGCTGATTATTATCATATGTAGCCATTGAAATATTTTGCTAATTATCATTTGAAATTTTTTGCTATCGTTATTTTACTAGGCTTTCATTATTTTTTGCTTAACTCCTGTTTTAAAATAATTTGAACAAATTAAGATTATTTATATTTATTTAAAAAATATTAAATCTAATTAATTGACAAAATAAGTTCAAATCAATATATTTATATCAGAGACCTGCAAGCCCCGTATTTTAATTCTTTAAATATACCCGAGCCGGGCCAATTTTTTTTAAAAAATACCCGGGC